TCCTTCTCTGCCCCTCCCCCGGCCCTCCCCAACACAGCCATAGAGCAAAATACACTATGTGTGTGAAAATATCACTTAGCCTGGCCCTACTCATGACTAAGCCTGCTTAGGAAACTCACCTTAAGGTTGAAGACTTCACAGTTTATCACAATATCTTTTGGACTTTCCATGTCAGAGGTTCCTACATCATAGGACAAATCTGCTTTGCAGAATCCAAAGACCTATAAAGAAGAGAGAAGCGTGTGTGCGCGCGCATGTGCAGGAGGTGTGGAGGTGCCCAGCTAGAGTTGTGAACTTCCAGATATTCTGGAAAACAAGGAGAGCTCTAGAAAAATCAGGGTACTATTATCAAATATCTCCACTAGTTATTTAACAATATTTCCTAGTCAGCACTTTGGGAAAAGTACAGTTTCCAAAGGCTTTCATTACAAGTTGCTGTGGTTCTCTTCCATGAGTGGTCACCAGCACTGGGCTTCCCCATGGGTGGTAGTGAAGAATAACATGTTGCTGATGTCTTGACTTAGGCTAACCTTTTGGCACTGAAGACCTGAGTTGCCTGTTTCTAGAGAGAGTGAAGGGTGGTGCAGAAGAAGCATTTGTACAACTTTAACCGGTTCCTTGGAGGGAAGCATTGGAAAGGAGGGAGCCGGTATAAAGTTTGCATGGACCTTGTCAAAGTGAATGTCTGCTGGCCCTACTCTAAGTACAAAGGCTACAACTGGCTGGCACCCCTATGCCCCAGAGGTTCTTAAATCCAGCTGTCAAAGTTAGACTAGGACAAGAAGAAAACTCTTTTTTAGAAAAGACTGTTAAGCATTGAGGTGCTGAGTACAGTTTTGGAGTCAGATCTGTGTTAATCCTGGCTTTATCATTTACTGATTGTGTGAGTTTAGGCAAGTTGCATAAAATTTCTGAAACTCATCCTTTGTCTGTACAATGGGTACAATACTATCTACCCACAGATTGTAAGAAGGCTTAATTAAATAGGATAATGCTACAAAACACTGAGCTCTGAGCTCCTCTTTTCCAGTTGCCATGTTTCTGCACTGGGTTTGCATTACCCACACCAAAATAGTTAAGAGTTTGTTGGGGATAGGAGTGGAGGAGGGAGGTGTCTTGTTTGGTAGCCACTAAGCAGGATTCTAGAACTACTTCAGGTTGAACAGCTGGATAAGGAATCACTGAATGCTACCTCTCTTCTGGCCCCAGAGAATGTGCTGTTAAGCTCCTGAAAAATCCCAGACTTGAGATCAGAAGGCCACCATTAAAATCCTGTGTCCCAACACTTTCTAGCTAAGTGCCCTTAGGTAGTAAGTGTCTAAACTCCAAAGCCCTTCTGTTGCAGGGAAATGGAAGCAGACACTTGTTTTCCTCAGTGGGGTTGTCACAGGGCTCCAACAAGACAGTATAGGTAGAGGTGTTTTGTTAACTGTGAGTTACCATACAAATACCGAGTATCATTAATAAGATCTTCCTGCAGATACATACATATCAATTTATAAAAGATTAGGGGGAAAATCCCACTGGACTGAGCATAGAAATGGATTCTAAACTCAGCTTCGTTCTGAACATTGGGCAAAACCTTTGCTGTGCTGATCCTGTTACCTTTCCATTTGTCAAATGGGGTCACTGTGAGGAGTAAATGAGATGAAGTGAATGAAACCACCCATGGGTGCAGGTTCTTGATACAATCTAATTTTCAGTTTTAGCTAAATCTTTAATCCTAAGGAGTTTAAATAACTCGGTGTTAAGTTTTGGTTTATGTCATGTATATTTATAAGATGATATTCTCACAATCCACGTAACTTCTCTGTGCCTCAATTTTCCCATGTGTAAACCAGGGATAAAAATCGTATCTAGTTCATAGGATGGCAGTGGGGGTAGCAGGTTAACATATGTGTAATGCACTTAGCAGGGTCCCTGGCACATAGTAAGTGGTCTCTGAATGTCACGTAGTATTTCACAGACATCTAGTATACTCACATGAGAATGCTTAGGAAAATGGTGACTGGAGCAGTTCCTCACAGAGAAGTCCACATAGTAACCGGTTCTTTCCCCTCCTCTCTAGAACAAATTGGATCAAAGCAGTTTTAGGAACATTAAAAAAAAAGGTGTGTGGGGGGCAGTAGATATCTACTATCCAAATATACTGTAAAGCACTTAGAGAATTCAAAATCACCAGTATGTGCCATTTTTCTTATGGTCTCTGCCTTTTAAAATGTATTACATAAGTGATAAGGTGAACACTATTTCATTGAAAAGTTTCAAATAATACAAAAATAATCAACATAGTATGAAAAATCACCCTTTCTGCACCCTAGTCTCTCCTTCTCAGAGGTACCACTACCATTCATTTGATGTATTTTTCTTTCTCACCTTTTTTCTAAATATGCTGTGCATATACACCTATATCTAATTATTTAATATAAAGGGGCTCATAGTCTAATTATTGTTCTGTAACCTGTTTTTTCTCCTAGGAATATATCTTGAAACTCTTTTCAATGCATACAGATCCAAAACATTCTTTTTAGTAATTACACTGTATTCATTCTATTGCTTGCATGCACCATAATCTATTTAACTTTGTGTTTTCAAAATGCAAGACAACCTCAACTAGCTGCTCTACAAGACCACTCTGGGTGGAAGGCACTATGGTCGCTGGACTGGGAGGAACTTTCTAGTTCCAGTCATACCACTGGGTGTGGTGATGTAGTTGCCCTGAGCCTCAGTTTTATGTATTATGTATTATGATGACAATACAAGATTAGGACCAGATGATTTTAATGACTCTAATATGCTCTTCTGTCTTTCCCTCTTTTTGGTTTGGGTTTTCCCTCACTCTCTTAGATGTTCATACTCTCTGCAACTCCAAAAAATGAAAATCTGCAAGACAGCAGTTCTGTGGTATCTACTGACTGTTTGTTGAGGCTGCAACAGGGGCCTCAATTTAAAAAGCAGCTGGCTGAGTGAGGCCTGTGGACAGAGTCAGTGCTGCTGAATTTTAGTATCTGCCAGGTCGGAACCTGGGCCCTCAGACTCTAGCTGGGCGTTAGTGGAGACTTACCACTCTTACAACTCTCTCCACTTGGTCCACTCTGAAAGAGGCAAAGTCATCATTCTTCCTTTTGTACTCCTCAAGGGCCTTGTCTGCTTGTTTTCTGTAGAGCTCAGTATCCTCAAAGAAATCGAAGAGTACGGGGCTGTCTTTAGTATTGGCCAGTGCAGAAGAGACTGGAGAGAGAAGATGGCAGTTTTGTGGTTACTGGGTTGGAAACAGCAACGTCAATGCTGGGGCTTAATACATTTAAGCACGGTGGCAAGAATAACAATAGCTCCCACTGTACAGATGGGCAAATTGATGATTGAAAGAGGCTAAGAAACTTGTTCCAGGTCAGCTCAGGCAATCAGCAGCAGAGCTCAACTTAAACCCAGATCCTTCTGTTGTGAGTGTATTCATGATGCTTCTCCATCATTCATAAAATGTTAATATTTTAGTAAACTCTTCCTATCTCCGCCAAGGAGGGAGAAGCATCATTAACATGAAGTTTTGCCCAGAGAAAGGATAAAATGCAGCTTAATCTTCCTTTAAGCAAACCTCCTGAAGGAGTTACTTGGCTGCTGAATTTTTTGTATATTGAATCATGTTGAGATTTGCAATTTTTGAAGGACTTCTGTGATAATTCTTTTTGAAAAAGTAAATTAAAAGATCATGGATTTTTGAGTCAATATTGGTGGGATAGGGTCATGTTCACTACATTTTGGCTGTGATCCTGAGGCCAAGTCATTGACCCTCTTTGACCTCAGTTATTTTACCTCTAAAATAGAAAGTATCATAACCTTTACTTCATAGCCTTGTTGTGAGATTAAATGAGGTGACATATGTATAACTGCTTTGTGAACTGTAGTGTTAATACATAACTTTTAGATGTGGAAGTCAATACTTACTGAGTGCTAAGTACTTTGCAAGTGTGCTACACAGACCATCCTATTTAATTCTAACAAAGACCAGAAGGGCTAATCCTATTATTATACTCTATATAATAATAGGTATATAGTTATACCTATTATTATATATCTGAGCATAGTTTGAGGATATCCTCAAATGAGGAAAGTTTAAAGAGAGTATGTAACTTGCCCTCAAGACCATGCAAATAGTAAGTGATGAGGTTGGGATTCAAACTCAGGCAAATCTGACCCCAGAACCCATGTTCTCTATAATAACGCTGTATTGCCTCACATAGATTTCTACTTTTATGTATTAAATTTCTTTAAAGGAAAGTGCACCAATAACAGGAGGAAACTCTCTCACTTCTCTTCTCAAAACAGTGAATAATAATCAAGTCCATGAGGGCAGGGACCATTTCTGATATGTACATCATAGTATTGTTCTATAAATACCACTGTATGATTGAATTCTATATTAATCTAGAATAAGTAGCTTTTTAACAGATTTCCATACCAGAACTTGTGGTGCAGTTAAAGTCATTCACTCTAAGATCCTGAGATTCATTCAAGCATGTCGTAGCAATTACCTTACATTGTCCAATCACCTGTAAGAAAGAGGAGTTTGTCATTGCATATTGCTTTCCTCAGGTTGAATGTGAAGAAACAAAACAGTGATGCAACATACTTCTACTATACATTTAAAATTTATTTGTGGTTTCTCTCAAAAAATCCTGTCTCAAAACCCATATTTTCTTAATCTGTTTCTCTGTGTTGGATGCTATAGGCATCCAAAGCCCTCATGATAACCAGAGAGAAACTGTTTAAATGGATCACGGCCATATCCCAAACATTTTCAAGGGGAAAAATTGCTGAAACTTCTAGGTATGTAAATGTCTTATTTTTTGGAACTGAAATATTAGACCTGTGCTTTTTCATCTTTGTGTTCTCCTGTGGCAGACAGCTTGGGATCTGAGTACCCATGTGCGATGTACAGAACAAAACCCTCTCTCTCATGATAATTGCAACTAATCCTTTTGGCCATTCCTGCTAATGGGACCAGTCTTTATAGCACACAATTACAAGTTCCTAGTTTCCTAGACCCATAGACTATCAGGTCCAGAAATGACCTTAGAGTCCATCTACTCCAAACCCCTCCTCTTATTTTATAGCTGAGGATATATGGAAGTGTAATGACAGCAATTTGCCCAAGATCTCACAGTTGGTCATGTTATCCCATGGGATCACAGCCCCACTGACTTATCTTAAACTGGGTTCCCAGGTATGTCTCTCAAGAGACTATTACTCAAGGTCAATATAATCTTTATGAGTCAAAAGGTAGAAGCTGCTCTTACTCTTTTGCTGTGTTAGTATAGGCATATAGCTACCCTAAATAAGCAGAGTAGACAGAAGTCAAGAATGCAAAGAAGAGGAAGATGGTAGCATGTTTACTTACTATACCAGATGGACGTCTAGAAACAGCTGGCTCACAGTCATCCCAGTATTTCCTGGATTGGACTGGGCAGTCGGATTCTTTCACATCTAAGACTAAATAATAGACAGACGCAAATTCCTGAGGAATTCCAAGAAAGCAACAGGTGAGTTGTATGTGAGAGCAATTAAATAAAAGCAATCTCTTTATTTCTTAAACAGAATTCCTGCTCCTTTCCAAATCATTGCCAATGATGTCTACCTTTTTGTCACTTGATCTATTTATTTGAATAAATAGCTTCAAAGAGTTACTACCAAATGTTCTTTTTAACTGGTCATGATGTTGCTTCTGCCCATGAACTTTAAAAAGCAATCACTTAATAGCAATGTTGGTTTGGGTGGAGGTGTTGAAGGTATAAGCCTAGAATTATAATGATGACTGCCACATCATGAGCTCCAATCTATACAGGCAGTTATGTCTTCTCACCCAGCTTTATTCCTGAACTTGGATTTCTTGCCTTGATTTCAACTTGCCCAAAGCTAAAACCACTCCCTTCTCTTGCAAACCAGCTCCCTCTCTCAACTTCCATTGTCTTTTGTCAGTGGCACCATTATTTATTGCCTTAGTCTTTGGCTTAAAAAAAGAAATGTGACATCAACTTTGATTTCTTCCTTTGTTTTTGCTATCCAGTAATCAGCCCTTGAATGGTCTTTCTTTTACTTATTCTCCATTGCCTTAAATCCCACTGCCTGAGTGTGATCCTCATTTCCTCATTCCTGAACTCACAAAATAGCTTTCTAGTTCATATCCCTGTCACGTGCATCCATCTCCCCAAGCACACTCTGTCCCCTTCCCACCCACCCACTATTTATCCAACACTCAGAGGTAGCACTGTGCCAACTCAGCCTATGTCCTACAATGTGGCAGAGAGCCTGGAATAGGACTAATGGTCACTAAATTGCTCGTTGAATCCTAAATTTCTACACTCTTGTTCTCTGCAGCCTGTACTGCCTCCATCTCTAATACTTTAACAAGTATAAATTTCTCTGCTTGTCCCCTGTGGTGCTTCATGGTCTGGCCTCACTAATTTTAGTGGTTTCATCAAAGGAAGGTTATTTTGGGAGGTTGGAGAGGGAAGTCTCTCTCCATAATCTCTATCATTAACCCTCAAATCCAATCCAAATAAGCATATACTGTAACTGAAGACAGTAAGCTTGCTTTGCTTCAAGATAGGGCTACATTCTTTCTTCCAAACTGATGGCTACTCCAAAGCCCACACAGAACTTCTGGAATACCCCTGCTTATGTTTCATTACTCCCTAACACCTTCCTTCCTGATTCCCTAACCACATAGAGGTGGTATGCCTAGAATTCTCCTGGAATGCCATCTTCCTATTCAAATTCTGCTTATTCTTTAGGACCCAAATGAAGCCTTCTCCCATCCAATCTTAATAGAACTCCTTTCATTAATTTGCCTATGTGTGCATCTGAGCTGATTATTATTTCATTGAGGGCAAGGCCCACAGTTTATTCTAATTTTTCTCTTACAGTAATTAGCATTTGATTGGCCTTAGCATCCATGCTTATAAATACTTACAGACCAATTCATAGTTAAGAATATACTAATAAAAAAAGTTAGCTTGAAAGAAAAAAACAACAGTCTAGAACAGCAGCAGAAACTAAACAGAAAACCCGGACTAAAGCCATTCCATTGTGCAAAACAGTAGTCTTAGGGGTGACAGTCACACTTGCCCCTGGCGCACGGTTTCCCGTCTCAAGTCTGCCATTGGCAATTCCTCACCACTTTGTCCAAGTGGGCATCAGCGACCCGCAGCAACTGGAAAAGGTAGCCACTCCGACGTCCTTTATTGATCAGATCTAGAGCTTTTCCAGCCAGGGATTCAGTAGCATTGCAATCTGTGGGACTCAAAGCACAGGAACACCGCAGCATGATCAAAATGATCAAAAGTAGAGCTGCAGTGAATGCCTTCATTGTGTTAAAATGTGAAAACCATCCCTCACTATGGTATACCACAGCAGAGAATTTTATACAGTCTCTAAAACACACACACACATACACGCACGCATGCACGCACACACGCACACACGCTCTTTACACGCACCCTCCACACACCCACACACACTAATGATTAAACAAAGTTTTTATACATTTTTGTTGTGTAACTGGGGACGTTTACCTTGACCCCTGGTTAAAATGTCTGTGAACATGCTGTAAATGATTAATGGGTTCTGGGGACAGAAAGTTGAGACATGCCACTAGTGAGTAGGTGTAACTGTGAGCTGCACAAATCTGGATATTTCTAGTCGGTAGCAGATCCAAAGTGTGTTTTGACCATAAGCATTGGTGTGGGGGATGGAAATAAAGTAATTTCCCTCCACCTGTTGCCTGTCTCAGCCAGAAATTTCCACCATCAGTCCCCTCTTTGGATTATGGCACTAGAAGACCTCAATAAAATGTAGCTGCATTATTTAAGGGAGGAAACCTGTTAAAGGTTAACACCGTGAACGGAGCTGAGTTCAGGTAGAATAGAATGATTAAGAGGCTGTTGTTTTGGAGTCAGATCTGAATTTCAGCTCTGTTACTCTTTTATGAGTTACTCTTTTATGCTAGGTAAGCTATAAAATGTCCCTGATTCTCTCTGATTCTTAGTTTCTTCATTTATAAAATGGGGATTAATACCTCTTGGCAGGATTTCTGCAATACTTAATAAGAAAACATGTAAAATAACCACTATAATTCTTGGCACAAATTCAGGTGCTGAATAAAATCATGTTATTGATTATTATTATTTTTATTATGCCTCAGAAACAGTTAAAGTCACCCCCATATTATTCCAGTTCTCCGTGGCCCTTAAGTACGCCAAAGAGAATTGGTTCATGTGGAAGAGAACTGTGGCAAGGGTAGGAGTCAAGCCATTTGATGCCCATCCCAGAGAAGGGGATAGGAATGCACCAGTGTGGGAGGGGCTCAGCACTGGGGGACAGAGCTTGGATTAAGCTGATCCCACAGCCCTACCCTTCCAAAGAAACCAATATACATACCTGTATGGACCCTTCAAACCAGCAGCGCCTAGGAGGTTCAGAAAGGACCAGAGGGAATCAGCCCAGGTTCCCTTCCCACTACCAGTCATTTAAACAGCATCTCCCTCCCTGCTTGCTCTCTTCCCTGCGGTGAGTGTCTGCAAGGGTCAACGGCAATGGTTCTCAGCTTTGACTTCATAGTAGAATCACCTGAGGAGCTTTGAAAAATCCTTGTAGCCAGGCCTTCCCTCCAGAGCAATTAAACCAGGATCTCTGGAGGTGGACCCAGGTTCTGGTAGTTTTAAAACTCCCAGATGATTCCAATGTGCAGCCAAGGCTGAGAATGACTTGGGTTCTAGACAGAACTAAGGAGCTGAATGGATGGGAGAAGTGGATGGAGATAGTCTCAGAGACACAGAGGAAGAACTGAGGGTTGCTAGTAGGGAGGGGGTGGGGATGAAGGAGAA